ACCCCCATAAGGAGAAGGGACCTGGCCAGCCAGGGCCCCTCCCCTCCAGCCCCCAGACCCCAGCCCCTGCCCTCCCCATCCCCCTGCGCTGTAGACTCGAGATCCAACTCTGCTACTTCCCAGTGACTTTCCGGAGACCGAGAACAGAGAGAAACTTTTTCCAATACAGTCCGATCCCGCCTCCCTGACAGCTCCACGTCTCCCACAGCTTTCCCAGGACCCCAGAGTCCAGGCCCCCATCCCCCTCCTCCCCAGGACCCCGAGTCCCGGCCCAGGCAGACAAAGACCCCAGGCCCAGCCCAATGGCGCTGCGGCGGTCAGGACCCCCATAGGCCAGAATCCCAGCCCAGCTCTCCCCCATGCGGCCAGACAAAGGGACGGAGGAGCCGGCTAAGAAAGGTCCCCCCGAATTTCCCGCCCCAGGCCCCAAACTTCCCAAGAGACAAGACTGGAGCTCTAGAAGGCTCCGTAGCCCGCCCTCTTGCCAGCCGGGAGGCCCCTTTCTCCACGAGGAGGGCCAGGCGCCCACAGATGACACACACGGACCAGTTCGGTCCAGAAACACGCACAGGGTCCTTTCTGGCTTCCAACCCACACGGCGCAGACACGCACACCCCGCGCACACCCCGCCGAAGTTCCCTGCCCTCGCCCACGCCCGGGCCCACACTCCCACACTTAGACGCCCAGCAGACACCCCAACTCGGGCAAAAGTTCCAACCCCGCACACAGACTCGGTCCGAAGCGAAATCTCGAGCTCCCCCCGCCCCCCCATAACAAGAAGGCTGCATGCAATTCAGAGAGGGTCCCCCACACACACCTAAAAGTCCTAGCACGTAACTTTCCACCCCAACTCACACACCCCAAAGCAGGATCCCCGACTCCCGCCGGCGCCTTCCTACCTCCCGGCCTGGGGCTGGGGAGCCGCGGCGGGCGGGGCGCTGCGCAGGAGAAAGTTGCCCGGGAGCTTTGTTTGGGAAAAGTGGGAGGGACCGGAGGGGGGGCGGGCC